GCAAACTCGTGCCTTTACGCGATCGATTCGTCCATCCCCGCCCAGTTTCCCGCGGAAAGCCACCATACTGCCGATGATGTTGGCGCCGATGGGGGGCCAACGACTTCAAAGGTGTCGTTGTCTCGGAGAGCTTGGATCTCTTCTTGAATTGCCTTTTCCAAACGAGGCCAATCCTTAGAGTTCTTTGCTTCGCGCAGGTTCTGTGGCGCTTGGATTATTGCATCCAGAGTAGCTCCTTCAGCACTCAGTGCTTGGCCTGTGATTTGAGCTGCAATACGAATTGAGCGCCGAAGTGGTTCGGGACTCTCTGAGGTTTCTGGCTGCCGGTTGCGGTGTCGACGACTTGACTCGCGCAACCCATCCCGTCTAGTTGTCTTGGTTTCTGGTTCGTCATCTACGCGTTCTTCGTGATTACCATTGCCGTCATTGTCGCTGCTGGACTCCTCGGCTTCGTCCACAATAGCCAGTGGGTCATCTGTATGGTCTCCTCGAGACGTATGAGCGTTTGGTGGTTCCAGAAAAACCACGCTCCTGCTGTGGACAACACGATGCCCTCGACCCGTGACGTATACAAAATAGCCTTTCTGTTCAGGGTCGCTGCCGAGGAAAATACCTGCTCTACCTTTCAGCCGAAACTGGAACTTGGTTGATCGTTCTTCACTGGGAATTAACACCACGCAGCGTTGACCAAACGTCTTGACGTGTTTCATGTCAGGCTTTCGACCCCAATTTTTTTCGAATGGTGGGTTTGTCTTGTCACATTTTGCTAGGACCCGGTTTCGCGTATGTACTGCACTGCGAATGGCATACTCACATAGATAATGTGGCATATCGTCTTGCAGCATGAGGGCCCGTGCGCTGTCGGCCAACGTACGGTGGGTGCGTTCCGCAACCCCATTTTGGTGATGTGCGTCCGGTTCCGACATCTCCGTGGAAATGCCTTCGTCCTCACACACCTTGCGGAACTCTGCTCCAAGAAACTCGCCACCGTTGTCAGACCGGTAGATCTTGAGGCTCTTGGTGTCTCCAAACCGTCGGTTGATGACCTTCATGAACGCTTTGAAGCTTCTTGCTGCGTCACTTTTGTGTCTGAGAAAGTAGACTGACGTGTGACCCATCCACTTCAGAGCAAAATAATAGCTGTTGCCGTTGTAGCTTCGTCGGAAAGGCCCGGCCAAGTCACCATGGGAAACTTCGTGTTGAGCTTCCGGAGGGCGCGTCGCCACGCGTAGAGCTGGAGAATGAGTGATCTTGCTCTTGGCACAAGTCTCACAGGTTCGAGGGGTGTGACTGGGCCCACGATTTTCACGGCGCTGGATTTTTTCAGTTCCCTGATCGCTCTGTAGTTCAGGTGGTTCAAGCGTTGGTGCCAGTCTTCCACTGAATTTGGGCGCGGAGCGATGCTAGTCTAGATGGAATTTTTAGCGTGTACACACCTCGAGACACCCCCGCGTAGACTGGTTTGTCATATATGAAGCACTCCTTGTCCGTGAACTCCCCTTTAATGCCTTGGTCAATAAGCTGTTTCACAGAGATCAGTGTTTGATTGAAGCCCGGCGCGTAGACGACGTTGTCCAAGACAATCTTATTCACGTCGTCAAGTTTCATCTTGCCCATCCGCTCTCCCGTAATGAGTTCTCCATCCGCAAGCTCGACTGCATACATCCTGCACTCTTTCATATCAAAGCGTTTTGTCGAGTCCCTTGTAATGTGGTAGGTGGACCCTGAGTCAATGATCGGGACACCGCCAGCTATCACTGGGTCGTGTATACGACGCAGTTCTGCCGACGGTTCCCGTGACCTTAACGAGCTTTCATCAGACTCCATGAACTCAATCCTGCGTTTATCGCTGGAGTCAGAGGCTGATGACGGTTGATCTCTGCCGATAGCTGTCGAAGAGGCGGCATGACCGCTGTTCTTACCACGCCGCACGAAGGTGTCGTGGTATCCGGTAGTGTGGCCCAATTCGCCACATTTTCCGCAACGAGCTTTAGAATAGTCACGACGTGCGGTCTTCCCCGGCTTCGACTAACGATCAGTCTTCATCGTCTTCTAGTCACGGTCTCGTGGAGGCGCCGAGTTGGTCTGTTTACGTTTACCAGTGTTGGTGGAGAATGTGCTTCTAGCAGTCAGTATGTCTTAATGAACGGCTAGTGCACACAGCTTTCGAATCGCACGGTCCATTTCATCAATTGGATGTCCCGAATTTTCTCGGATGATCGTTCGTAGAAGGTTGGTATGCATTGCCCATGCGTTCGTCAAGAATCCGCTCAAAGCAATGTTGTTAGACGCCCTGGTTTCCGACTGTGATGGTGGGCGCTAGCCCTGGACAAGCTGTCCTAAACACGAGTACTTCCAGGCAAGCTGCTGATGATCATGGTCAACAGGTTCTCGGCCACAAGCTGCAGCATGCAGCTGTTGCTGCACTTGCAAGTGCAACTGCAAGTGCAACAAGCCTCTCCCTGGACTGCCATGGACTGGCAGGAGAGAGCAAAGAGGAGTAGAGTTTAGATGTAGCTCAGTTCACATTTTGCTTCAACAGCTCAATATACGTTGACTGTTGGTGGGAGTTCCAGCTCCCAAGATCGTGTGGAACGTCACATTGTTAACAATAGTATCTGTGAAGCACGGATGAGAACGTGCAGCGGAATTACGACGGCGGAGCCTGCCCGACAACGAGGTCGAGGAGATAACGGCGACATAAGGTCGATGGCGAGCGTGCCAGTCACATCGTCGGCCATCCTTCCACCTTGGATCACCGACATCTCTCACGCCAAGCTGGTGCAGTGGAAGAAGGAACGTCGTGAGTACGAGGATGCAATTTCTGCTCGCTGTGCGATATCAGGAGAGGACAAAGCAAAGCCGATGATGACAGTCAAAAGTACTTTCGACCATCAACTACTGAAGATGATGTGCAAGTACGACTGGGAAATACCACTTGAAAATGTCACCGAGGAACGAATCCTCAGTGAGATCGACAAGATTGTAAACACCGTGAAAAACGGCGACATTGACAACATTGATGCGCTGTTTGACGAGAAGCTTCGTATGGATTTGAGAGAAGATGATGTCAGGTGAATTATTTCAAAAGGTGTGAGGAAATTATTCTGCAGAACGGACTGCAAGGTATTTTCTCTACGACAATGGGGATGACTCATAAGTGCACCATATTGAAGAAGCATTTGCGGCCAAGAGCTCTACGTGAGCAGGTGGAGACTCACCAGAAGCTCATCGACAAGAGTAGCGCGAAGAACGACGTAGCTCTGTACAAGCTAGTCAGAAAGAAGGCTCTTGAGCAGGATGCTGTGCACCGCTCGATACTGAGGAGCCAACAACACGCGAAGCGAGACGGAAAACAATCGCGGCACAGCGAAGTTCGAGTGGCGAAGAAGTCGGACAACGACCGTACTGTTGCGCAGACTAAGCCATGGACGAGCAAAAGGAAAGCACAGCAAGACGCTGGTGCAGCTCGTCGAAGTGAGAGGCCTCCAATCACTGGAATTTCAAATGCAGTAGCAAAGGGCAAGCCACGTGGTGGTTGCTTTAAATGCGGCAAGGATCATTGGTTGAGTGAGTGTCCAGACATTGACGAAGTTGAAAAGGAAGAAATCATGGCCAAGCGTGCTCCAAAGAAGCAGAATGCCAAACGATTTCGGGTCAAACGCGTAAACCCGCGTGAAAAGGGCAACGATCGGATTCGACCGACTGCAACACTGAATGCGGTGCTCGAAGCTCATTACTGCGCTGACAGTGGCTCAGACTGGAACATTATTTCTCAGAAGATGATGAAAGAACTACAGGCTCTCGAACTGTACGGTTGTACAAGTGGAATTGGATCAACCAGTGGAGCTGGAAGCGGTAGGCGGTGCAATCCTTACGGCAACTCATGGTGCGGATGTGTATTTGTGTTTGAACACAGCCGCTGGGCCAGTACGATGTCAAGACCAGAAGCGGTGTCTAATCGTCGAGTCGGATGACGACGAGTTGATTGTGGGCCGAGTGCTTTGGGCGGAACTAGTAATCGATGTGGATAGAGAGCTTGAGCAGCTCGCGGCACAGAATCGCGATGACGATGACTCATTTGGAGAACCAACTGGGGTACCTGTGCGTGGCGTCACGCAGGATGCAGACTGGCAGAAGTGATCGATGGTATCGTTGCAGACTGTTTGAACCGTGAGATTATTTCGCCTGGAGCTGAAGTAGACCGTTTGCGTGCCATTTTGTTTTCTTTTAAAGGATGGAGACTCATTCTTGGTGACGACCCTCCTGCAAGAGTACCCCCGCTGAAGATCCGGCTGAAACCAAATGCAAGGCCTTACAAGTGCAAAGTTCGTCAATATAGTCCCGAGAAATCGGCATTTATGGCACAGTTCAACGCTGAGCTGGTGCGTTTGGGGAGGGTGAAGGAGAACAAGGCAAGTAGGTGGGCCTGTGCAGCATTGCCTGTGAGGAAATGTGGTAGTAACGAGTTTCGGCAAGCCAACGATTATCGCCCATTCAACGATATGACTGAGCCCATTGCAGGTGTCATGCCCAGCCTGCAAGTTCGACTGGAGAAGTGCAAAGGAAATAAATTCTATGCGATCTTTGATTTTATCAAGGGTTTTTGGCAGCTTCCTTTGCATATCGAGTCTCAAGAACTGCTCTCGTATATGACGGATCGTGGAATTTTTACTCCAACAAGAGTACCGCAGGGTTGCACGGATGCAGCTTTGCGTTTTCAATCGACTGTGGAGGAAGTACTAAAAGAGTACCTTCATGAATGCGTTCTCGTTTGGATAGATGATCTGCTCGTATTTGGTGATACGGTCGATGAGCTCATGACCGCTATTGAGTCTATTCTGTATCGGCTTGACGAAGTAGGATTCAAGTTGAACCCGAAAAAGTGCAGTTTGTTTCAGACTGAGATTAAATGGTGCGGTCGGATTATCAACGAGAACGGTGTGGGTCATGATCCTGAGCGGATTGAGGCACTTCAACAGATTCCAGTGCCGTCGACAGCAGCTGAACTACAACAGTTTGTCTGCGCAACGAATTGAATGCGTGATGGACTTGTTGATTACTCTCGTGTGGTGAAACCTGTACAAGAACTACCGGGTCGATCTCTTCAGGGGACAAAGCGCAACAAGAGAGTCGCTGCAGGTATTCGAGTGATTTTTTCTGAAGATGAATTGGAGGCGTTCGTGAAGGTAAAAAAAATGCTGTCGCACTCAGCAATGCTAGCGTACCCAGACCCATCTAAGCAGCTCTGTTGTCGGATGCATCGGACACGGGCTGGGGACTCGTGATAACGCAAGTTGGGCAGTGGAAACATGACACGCCGATCCAAGAGCAGCAGCATGAGCTTTTAATTTGTATGGGTGGATCGTTCTCAGGGTCAGCGCTCAACTGGAGTGTCATTGAAAAGGAATCTTTTCCTATTGTGCATGCATGCGAGAAACGCATTGTCTCGCTTCCTGAAGACCGACCGGACTTGGACAAGAACCTGAGTCAGATGCGGCAAAGCGTTCGAAAGACGCACAAAGTAGTGGAAGACGTGCGAAAGCGTCAGAGCCAGCGATATCGATCTCGGTATCACTATGAACGTGCTGTAAATTTCACTGTCGGTGACTACGTCCTTCGGTCTCGTGTAGACGAAAAGCAGCACGCCAACAAACTTAGGGTGACATGGGTTGGCCCGTATCGTGTTACTGTGGCGGCCGAGTACTTTTTCACTGTGGAGCACCTAGCGACAGGGAAGACGATGAAGGTACATCCATCGCGACTTAAGCACTATGCAGATTCTTCTCTCAACATTTCGACTGATTTAATCGATCACGTAGCGTCACAAGGAACACTGCTGGCAGTTGATGCATTAGTGGACCACCGCTACCATGATGACATGAAGGCGTTTGAAGTCAAGGTCAAGTGGCAAGGACTTGAAGAGATTGAGGACTCTTGGGATCCGATGAAAGTTCTCAGCGAGGATGTACCGCAGCTCATGAACAACTATGCCAACGACAAAAACGACGAACGCCTGCAGCGCGCAGTAGCTGCCGTACTGCAGCGTAAGAAACCAAGGACTAAAGATGATCGAGATTTCAGCAACAGTTCTTTCGGCTTTAACTTTTTGTGGTAAGTTTACCGACGCACAAGGATTCATGGAGTACGTGCACTTCGTGGTTTATGAAAGCTTGGGGGGCAGTGTGATGGTGGGCGCTAGCCCTGGACAAGCTGTCCTAAACACGAGTACTTCCAGGCAAGCTGCTGATGATCATGGTCAACAGGTTCTTGGCCACAAGCTGCAGCATGCAGCTGTTGCTGCACTTGCAAGTGCAACTGCAAGTGCAACAAGCCTCTCCCTGGACTGCCATGGACTGGCAGGAGAGAGCAAAGAGGAGTAGAATTTAGATGTAGCTCAGTTCACATTTTGCTTCAACAGCTCAATATACGTTGACTGTTGGGTGGAAGTTCCAGCTCCCAAGATCGTGTGGAACGTCACACCGACTTGTCTCGTGTAGTTGCAGCTGCCATTGCGCGTAAGCGACTGAGAACTGGCGGTAGCTCTCTGCGGGTCGTTTCCACTCGCTTGCTACTAAGCGGCATACTTGTAGAGTCGACAGGCGACTTCCAAACTCACGTTTCAGGCGGAGGCCTAGAGTTTCCAGTCCAAGCTGCAGTAATTCTTCTTGGTTCGCGATGTACCCGTCTCGTGCATCGCCGCTCAGATTGCGCATGAGTAGCGAATTCTTGCCCGGGCCCGTCAGATACACGTTGTGGATGAGCTCCTCTGTGCGAAGTTGAAGCTTGGAGCCTTCAAACCAAGCTGCCGTGCCTGCGTGCGAAAGCGTTGGGCGCCACGCGACCAGGAAATGGTCGATCTTG